TAGATTTATATAATGCTTCACAGTGCTCTACAGCCCTCTCTAAGTGGTTTACAGAGTCAGCATATTGCCTCCAACAATCTGGGTCCTCATTTTATCGACCTCGGAAGGTTGGAAAGCTGAATCAACCTCGAGCCGTTCAATCGAACTCCTGGCAGTTGGCAGTCAGCCTGCAATACTGTATTCTAACCACTGCGCCACCACGGCGCAGAAATTTTAGTGTTCTTCTCTGCTGTATGTAGTCACAGTGCATACATTTGGGTATACATGTATGTGTGTTTGTGTGTGTGCACGTGTATAAACAAATGTACAGTGAAGTCTCAAAAAGCTTACACTAGTATATTGAAGCCTCAAATGTTTCCTGCTGCTACCAAATTTGGGTTGTATAAACCCATGAAAGGTGCATTCCAGAAAGCCTTTTAAAGCAGGATGCCATAGTAAACTTTGTGAGAGTTTGCACAAAAAACCCCTCTCTATTGCCTTTTCCCAATACAGTAGCAATGACCACAATGGCATGGATATGAAGTGGATTAAATAACTTCCTGTCCTTGAAATCCTTTGGAAACATTCTGGCCTTCCCCAGGACTTGTGAGAATGGGCTGCCCTCTTAGAGAATGGTAGAACCCCTGTTCTCACAATGCTTTGGAAGCCTCATTCCGCAAATCCATTTAATGGCACCCGCAATTTAGGTAATTGGGCAAATTTGGCTTCCTACGCATCAGCGGTGTGGGTTGGAGGTGGCTTTTCTCAGGGCAGTGGTGGGGCTGAAATAGAAACCTGAGGGTGGTGGGAGACTGCTGAAGGCAGTGGGCTCCTAATTTATCCCCACCTCCAGCATTGCTACTGATTGTCACTGTGCAGAGTGGCCCAAAAGGCATAGATGTGTGTGTGTGTGTGTGTGTTGGGAATAGCCAATGCCTCCACTGTTGTAAATATGGGTGGACTGCCCGGCACCTGAATACGGGAGTACTGCAAGGGTCATAACGTCAGACATGGGTCCATTTTTGTCACTGTCATTTCAAATTGACACTGAATGAAGGCTCTAAGCCTGCAATTGAGCCCAGAATTTCAGTTATATGTCATGCCATCATTAAGCTGCTCACATGGCCGCATTTCAATTTGATGCTTTTTTCTTTTTCTTTTTTTGCAGCAGCAGTCATTAAGCAAACACTGCGATTGTTAAGCAAGTGCTATGGTTGTCATTGTTCGCAATGGGCAATTTTTTTTGCCAGAAACCAGAAATAAACAGCAGTTTAAGGGGAAAGGTACGGTATATAAATCATGGTCACATGACTGCAAGACACTGCAAACAGTCATAAATGTGAGTTGATTGCCAAGCACCCAAAATGTGATCATGTGACTGGGGGGGGGGCTGGCCGGTGGAACTTTAAGTCTAGGTCATAAGTAGCCCTGGGCATGTCTGCCATAACTTTGAATGGTCGCTAAGTGTAAATTCTATCTATAAGACAGCCTGCAACATGCTTCCCAAATTTCTAGGATGCCTACTAGCTGCAGAAGAGAAGGATAGAAGAATACAGTGATGATCTTGAAGAAAATATGTGGCGTGCATTAGGAAAAAATGACTTAGCTCAGGAAAAACAGAAGAAGTGAGAAGGAAACTTAAGATAGGCTCACCTTGAGTCTGTTCTATATAAGAGGGAGGGCAGGGGAAAGGCAGTCAGGCTTCAGGATTCTGTTTTTATAGCCTAGGGCAGATTTCTAGGGTTTCTTGTGGCATCTGTTTCCTGACATGGCCTTCCTCAAAGGGCTGACAATGGTGTTTTTCTTTTCAGGTGATTCTTACAATGGCAATACCTCCATTTATTGGGTGGAATAAGCACAATTCCATTGCACAATTATATCCAGTTTTCTGGATGACAAAAGCATTTTGCTTTTAAGAGAAAGAACGGCTGGTCAGTTGAGTGTAATAAAGATTTGATTTGATTTAAAAACTTTCCAGGCATCCTTTAGCCAGCTGCAGAACTGATAGCAGACATCACATTTACCCACTAAGAAATAAATGAAGGGTAATCAGTGTCTGAAAGTGGAGAGTTGGCACAGTGATAGAAGTCTGCATCCCTGCTTTCAACCGAACCTTTTGGCAGCTGTAAGTAACTATGGAGCAGACATTATATAGGGCAATATAAAAAGGAAACAGACAAGCCAAAGTTAAATTGTCTTGCTTGCAAAGGCATAATGCTTCATGTTCAGATTTCAAGAAATAAAAACCATGAGTGCCTCTGGCGAATGGAAAGCAGCCAGATCCGTGCAACAGGTTTGGCATTGGCAAATGTTGTGAAAGGACTACGGGTGGAACCGTCCTTCTCACTTGACTATAACCCAGAGTCTGGATTTTGTTAAAAGACCACTAAGAGTTATGCAGGGTCCAGGAGACTGGGAGGTTTCTTTTCATGATATGTACATTTTGGAAGACAATGCAAAAGAATCTTTCGGATAGATCTGAAAGTTTATGGTGAATACATGATTAGGGGTGACATAAGAAGAGAGAGGAATTAGTGGGATCCAAACTGGATACATCTGGAGCTTCAGAATGTTTTTTTCCCCCTAAGAATTTGATGACACATGAATGTTTATTTGATTTTTTTTTTGAAGCATCTAATTCTAATGCATAAGGAAGTTATGGTTTTGCCCAGTGCTTTTTTTCTAAAAAAAAAAAAGGTGCCGGAACTCACACACGTCATACAACCCGCCTTGGCTACCCTACAAGGTTCCATCCAAAAAAGGTGCCGGAACTCCGTTCTGGGCATTCTATGAGAAAAAAAGCCCTGGTTTTGCCTGTCCTATTCACCTGTATTTATTCTTTGGTGATGCTTTCCCTTTCTGTCTAATTAACTTGGTTAATTATGGATATGGATCTAAAGATGTGGCAAAATCTCTGCTCTCTTTTTCCCCCTTCTCTGTAATCAGGCTAGAGAGAGTGGGGATTTTGCCATGTCAGTTCAAGTACTATGGCAATTGGATCTCAAACACTACGTGCTCACAGGCACTTCCTGCCAATTTTAGAATTTATGAAAGAATCCTAAAACAGTAGGTACTTCTGCAAATACACCAATGCCAGTTTAATATGCTGTTCTTCACTTAAGGGGGAGTCAGGAAATTGGAGCATATGTATGAACATGCAACATTATTCATTTATGAAACTGTGTGCCACACACTTTTTCAGTTAATATCAGGCTGTAGTGGCACCTCAAGGCAGTGCTAGGAAGTGCATAAATCTGACACAGTGAAGGAACAAGCGGGATATAAATTAACCTGTTTTCTTAAACTTTTAACCTTTCATGTATGAAGGAATAGATGATCTGGTTCTATATCATGACATCTGGTTTTTTAAACCACTGTATATGATCATCCTTTATTTTTATATTTTTAGTGTAACTATTTGCTACTACTGAATACTAATAATAATAGTAAAGTTGGAAGGGACCTTGAAGGTCATCTAGTCCAACCCCCTGCTCAGGCAGGAAACCCTATACCATTTCGGACAAATGGCTGTCCAGTCTCTTCTTAAAAACTTCCAGTGTTGGAGCATTCACCGCTTCTGGAGGCAGGTTGTTCCACTAGTTAATTGTTCTAACTGTCAGGAAGTTTCTCCTTAGTTCTAGATTGCTTCTCTCCTTGCTTAGTTTCCACCCGTTGCTTCTTGTCCTGCCTCCAGGCGCTTTGGAAAATAGCTTGATTCCCTCTTCTTTATGGCAACCCCTGAGATATTGAAACACTGCTATCATGTCCCCCCTCGTCCTTCTCTTCATTAAACTAGACATACCCAATTCCAGCAGCCGTTCCTTATATGCTTTAGCCTCCAGTCCCCTAATCATCTTTGTTGCTCTTCTCTGTACTCTTTCTAGAGTCTCAACATCTTTTTTACATCGCGGTGACCAAAACTGGATGCAGTATTATCATTAAACCTAGGATACAAAAACAAATGCACATTCTTTCATTAAACCCACCTTTATATCCCACTCTTATCTTTTATGTGCTTTAAAGATCAATATAAAACTGGATATCAGTCATATCAATACATTTCTGAATATCAGTACAAATACTGATACAAATTTCTTATCTTACAGGATTGGGATACATGCTCAGTATTACCCAGCCTGAAATGTTATCAAGCCAGTTCTTTGTTCATTTCCAGTATTGTGTTTTCATGTCTTTCTGTCTGGCTAGCATCTGTTGCTTTCTATCCTAGCTTAGTATCAAAAATTGGAGGTCTGAGCAGGAGAAATACTTATGAATACTCTGGCCAGTTTGGCATAGATGAAGGGCTTACTGAGGTACAATAGAAACTTGTTATCCATTGTTGCATTACTCCACCACCAAGACAATACTGTAAAGGTCTAAACATAAAACAATGTCCTTTTTGTATGCTGCCTTTCATCTGCTGATTGGACTTTTTGTTTATTATTCTCAATAAATGTAACAACCAATTCCCCATTCATGGGTAGTGTGAAAATAAAGATCAAAGCACTGCAACTAAAGAATCTGACTTCAGCTGAAGTCACATCAATGTTACTAAACTGACTAGTACTTGGTATTTTTTGGGAGAGAAATCTTTTTCAAATATTTAAATATAGCACAAATATAGACTTTGCAGCAGCCGGGTATTTATTTGGCATTGCCCCTTTCTCTCTCTACTTCAAGGTAGAAAGAGATTTAAATGCTAGATTTTTTTTTTTTATGGAATTGAGGCTGCAACTGTAAATGTTCCTACTGGAAAAATATCTTATTAACTACGCATACCAAATTTGCTCATCTGTAAGTCAGCATTTTTCAAATGAATAGAATTTATTCTGAAATAAGGGAAACAGCCTATGATTGGGCAGTAAAACTTAATTTTCTCTTTGGCAAACTGTTTTATTTATTGATTTATTTTTTCTTACAAACTATCTGGGATCTGTATTCTTATGTTTTTCAAATTGGGTAGTCTTTCTAAATCGGCTGCTTTGGGAAATGGAGTACTTTTAAAAATCTACATAGGTCTGAAGATGAGCTATTCATGGACTGGATGAACTTGCAGGCTATAATGTGCCTTTTTTGTAATATGTTGTGTGGATTCAGTCTTTGTAGCTTACTTATAAACCATTATTTGTGGTTTAATAATGGATGTACCTAATTGTGGCTTATTTGGCAATCACACTTGAAACAAAACATGGTTTACTATTTTTGATCTCAGTGATAGTTTGCTTTTTACCTACTGAATATTAGGGTTATTCTAATAATGAATGAGTCGTCCATTTCAATGCCCATTTGTAGAGTCTGTAATTGTGCATGAAACAACTCAGCATATGCTAAGGTCTGCAGACTGCCCAATTTTCTGTATAGTGAATGAATCAGAATTCCTTTGAAAAACAACTGCAGCCCACTTTTCCATCCAAATAGATTGGGAAGGGATTAAATCTGCCATGGTCATGAAAGTATCAAGAAAGACAAACCCTACAATAACAAACCGCAGAACTTGAATAATTATTGTCACTTATGTCACATTAATTGCAATAAAAATAGAGGCAATAAAAGGACACTTTAGAAACAGGGCACACCTTTTTTCCTTAAAAAACAGATTTTATTGAGCTTTAATATGTTAGGGTAACCAATGCAAGATCTGTGTTCAATTTATATATTACAATAAAAACAGGAACTCCTCTAGCAGCTTTGAAACTTGGCAAGTTTGGCTGTAATGCATGGTAAGTGCAGTAAAAGGCTGTGTGAAGTACAAAAGGAATACAAAAGACATTTCTCTCCATGGACTGTACATTCTTTTAAAGAACAGTGCCTGCTCCACAGGGCAGTCATTTAGCAATTTTTAAAAGTCACTGGCCAATGTTCCAGACAAAGATGAACATTTCTTTGTTTGTGTTTGGAAAATTGCTTATCTTGCCATAGCTGGATTGAAAGGGGGAAAAAAAAGCTTTGAAAGGAACATTAGGCAAAGATTTGCTAAATGAAGAAGGACTATAACATATTTTCACAACTAATTATATACCAAATAAATCAAGCAATAGTAAAAAAAATTCAACCCTCCCCAAAACAAAACAGAAACAAATTCCCAAACCCTTCTGTTCAAAATAACAGCATTTATTGCTTATTCCCATGAATTTCATTTATGAACACATAGTATATTTAATTACTTCTTCCACACAGGGAAATGTGTCCATTTGGTCTGCTGCTTTAGTGAAGATGATATCTATTAAACCATCACCTTTCACTTTTAAGAAGATATTTTATTGCTTGTTTTTCATATATAGCCAGCCTCTGGATTAGGCACATCCTTAACACAAGTTAAATATGCTTTTCTCTCTGTTGCCTTTTGTTTATACAGTGCAGAATATACGGACTTAAAAATCACAGGGAGCTGCTCACTCCAGGTCGCTTTCTGGGTCTGAGTTCAAGGGTGTGCAGTAGTTTGGCCTGCTCGAAGGGACGAAGCCCGGAAGACACACACACTTATAAGATCCTTCAGTGTTGATGCATTTGGCGTTCTTACACAGAGACATCCTATTATTCAGTTCATTGCATTCATTCACATCTGGAAGAAAATGTGAATAGGATCAGGTTTAGCACATTACGTTCAACCAGAGGACAGGTACAAGAAAAAAAGTGACCTAGCAAATAAAATTAATTTAACTGAATTATTGCAATTTATCTACATACAAATTATGACACTTATAGTAAATACCACTGGTGGCAGGAAAAATACTACTGAATAAAAGGATATCCCAACCGTCCTTAATGTATGTGATTGAGTCTCTAACACAGGGGTCCCTAACCCCTGGTCCGGGGACCGGGACCGGGCCACGGCATGCCAGCAACCAGTCCACACAAACAAGCAAAGCCCCATCCGTGGGATGCAGGCAGCACACAAAACCACACACTCTTCGGTTCATGAAAAAGCCTTTCTCCATGGAACTGGTCCATGGTGCCCAAAAGGTTGGGGACCTCTGCTCTAACAGATACCGATAGTATAAACATTTAAGTCATACATGCTTGGCATCCAAAAGCACAGCAACATTCGGAAGGCCTGAAGGCATAACAGGGAATACTTTGGGTTCCTTAAATTAAGGAATGCCACCTTATGGGACCTAGGAAGCATGCCTTTGGAATACCTGACCACTGGAGATTAAATTTATTCCAACCTATTGGCCTTCTGAAAAGACCTGGTTGTTTGCACTGGCATGGGATTGGAAGTTAGCAATCCTCAGGTTTTTGTTTTGCTTTAAGATGTTATTTTCAGCTGCAGTTTTTAATTTTTTGTCATTTAATGTTACATTTATAGTTATTTCTATTTTTTTTAATTCTAAATTTTATTTGCTGTTGAGAGTTGCTTTGGCAAAAAGGCAGGCACACAATGGGGAATATACCAGACAGTTTGCATAGTGCATTCAGAGATACTGGGGCTAGAACATTGCTTTTAATGTGTATTCTACACTGTGTGCCTGCTTCCTCTCTTGTAATCCCTTTCTCTCCAATCTCTCTGCTCTGCAAGGGTTAAAAAAAGAAAAACTTCAGGTCAAGCATAGGACAACATATACTGACTGTAATGGCAATCATGTGACTGAGGGACACTGCAAAGGTTGTAAATGCAGGTCTTGTACACTTGGAAAAGGACAAGCTATTTTTTTTTATCACCAGTTGTCTGCAGTGTGATATCTCTCTGGGCCATCTGACACTCACTCTGAAAGATAGTGCCATTTTCTATCTTTGAATGTTATGGGAATTGCCTGGATGTGAACAGTGCAATACATTCTTACCAACACATGTCATTTTGGTCATGTCCAAATGGTAGCCATCAAAACAGTCACAGGTATATCCTTCCTGCACCCTGACACAACGTCCATTTTCACATCCATTCAGAATTCCACATTCTTCAGCTTGTAATTCCTCAAAGCTATTCAGGAAACCTGGATTTTGGAGGTAAAAAAAGGATTATGGAGGTAAACACACAAATTAGTACTCGTGCTGATTCAAAGAACTAAGTACTTCTCTAGCACAAAGTCAGAAGTTATGAGGTTGGGCTTGCAAGATTGATTTTAGCCTTTCCAAGTAGACCAGACAGGAAACACAAACTGATAAACTAATTCTACTTTACTGTAAAGCTATGTTAACAGAACCTTGCAATTCTAAAAGTACAATTCTCCCCCCTCACCTTTATAGCATGAGAACTAAGGGATCATCCCTTCTGAGTCTCTTGCTTCTCCCACTATGCAGTGGTGGGCTCTGTTGTTTCTTATCTGACTATTCCTTAGGTAGCATGTCTTCCCCCAAGATCTCCAAAGATCTTTCCCACATACCATTGCAACCATATATTAGAGACACTGACTGGAAGTTAGTGATGAGAGGACAAATAAAGTGGGGGAAATGCACTAATGTAGCCAGAAATAAGTAGGTAAAAACAGCACCAATTGATAGATAGCCTTGTTCCTTGGCAGAATAGGGCCTGCAGTGCAGGCAAGACCATTTATGCTGCATACTTTTTTGCTAGTTCAAGATTGGCAGATGGCATTTTAACTCAGCTATGAGGAAGCTGATCTTTGCGTAGATCTTTTCCAAAAACAATACTGTCGCTGAAGAGAACTGTAGGTGGCAGCCAAGCACAAGCTAAAAGTACTTTGGGAAAACCTGAGATCTAAAGGCTTTGTAGAATTTGATTGGTCAAAGAAGGAATAATTCCATGAGGTCATTTTTGAAGAATACTTTCTGAATGTGGGTGATTTCTAAGCCTGGCTGGGGGACACCACCCTTTTATCTGCTGAGCAGGAGGGGAACAGCAGTTGGTATTTTAAATAATAAGCCTTATATATATATATATNATCAAAAGCCGCTGAGAGGTCCAAAAGAACAAGGACAGAGGAGTACCCTCTGTCCCGGGCCCTCCAGAGATCATTGACCAACGCGACCAATGCCGTTTCCGTGCTGTGCCCCGGCCTGAAACCCGACTGGTATGGGTCTAGATAGACAGTTTCATCCAGGTGTCGAGGGAATTGCTGTGCAACCACACTCTCGACAACCATCATGCCATCATTAAGCTGCTCACATGGCCGCATTTCAATTTGATGCTTTTTTCTTTTTCTTTTTTTGCAGCAGCAGTCATTAAGCAAACACTGCGATTGTTAAGCAAGTGCTATGGTTGTCATTGTTCGCAATGGGCATTTTTTTTTTTGCCAGAAACCAGAAATAAACAGCAGTTTAAGGGGAAAGGTACGGTATATAAATCATGGTCACATGACTGCAAGACACTGCAAACAGTCATAAATGTGAGTTGATTGCCAAGCACCCAAAATGTGATCATGTGACTGGGGGGGGGGCTGGCCGGTGGAACTTTAAGTCTAGGTCATAAGTAGCCCTGGGCATGTCTGCCATAACTTTGAATGGTCGCTAAGTGTAAATTCTATCTATAAGACAGCCTGCAACATGCTTCCCAAATTTCTAGGATGCCTACTAGCTGCAGAAGAGAAGGATAGAAGAATACAGGGATGATCTTGAAGAAAATATGTGGCGTGCATTAGGAAAAAATGACTTAGCTCAGGAAAAACTGAAGAAGAAGTGAGAAGGAAACTTAAGATAGGCTCACCTTGAGTCTGTTCTATATAAGAGGGAGGGCAGGGGAAAGGCAGTCAGGCTTCAGGATTCTGTTTTTATAGCCTAGGGCAGATTTCTAGGGTTTCTTGTGGCATCTGTTTCCTGACATAGCCTTCCTCAAAGGGCTGACAATGGTGTTTTTCTTTTTAGGTGATTCTTACAATGGCAATACCTCCATTTATTGGGTGGAAGAAGCACAATTCCATTGCACAATTATATCCAGTTTTCTGGATGACAAAAGCATTTTGCTTTTAAGAGAAAGAACGGCTGGTCAGTTGAGTGTAATAAAGATTTGATTTGATTTAAAAACTTTCCAGCCATCCTCTAGCCAGCTGCAGAACTGATAGCAGACATCACATTTACCCACTAAGAAATAAATGAAGGGTAATCAGTGTCTGAAAGTGGAGAGTTGGCACAGCGATAGAAGTCTGCATCCCTGCTTTCAACCGAACCTTTTGGCAGCTGTAAGTAACTATGGAGCAGACATTATATAGGGCAATATAAAAAGGAAACAGACAAGCCAAAGTTAAATTGTCTTGCTTGCAAAGGCATAATGCTTCATGTTCAGATTTCAAGAAATAAAAACCATGAGTGCCTCTGGCGAATGGAAAGCAGCCAGATCCGTGCAACAGGTTTGGCATTGGCAAATGTTGTGAAAGGACTATGGGTGGAACCGTCCTTCTCACTTGACTATAACCCAGAGTCTGGATTTTGTTAAAAGACCACTAAGAGTTATGCAGGGTCCAGGAGACTGGGAGGTTTCTTTTCATGATATGTACATTTTGGAAGACAATGCAAAAGAATCTTTCGGATAGATCTGAAAGTTTATGGTGAATACATGATTAGGGGTGACATAAGAAGAGAGAGGAATTAGTGGGATCCAAACTGGATGCATCTGGAGCTTCAGAATGTTCCCCCCCCCTAAGAATTTGATGACACATGAATGTTTATTTGATTTTTTTTGAAGCATCTAATTCTAATGCATAAGGAAGTTATGGTTTTGCCCAGTGCTTTTTTTCTAAAAAAAAAAAAAAAAAAAAGGTGCCGGAACTCACACACGTCATACAATTCTTGGCTTGGCTACCCTACAAGGTTCCATCCAAAAAAGGTGCCGGAACTCCGTTCTGGGTGTTCTATGAGAAAAAAAGCTCTGTTTTGCCTGTCCTATTCACCTGTATTTATTCTTTGGTGATGCTTTCCCTTTCTGTCTAATTAACTTGGTTAATTATGGATATGGATCTAAAGGTGTGGCAAAATCTCTGCTCTCTTTTTCCCCCTTCTCTGTAATCAGGCTAGAGAGAGTGGGTATTTTGCCATGTCAGTTCAAGTACTATGGCAATTGGATCTCAAATACTACGTGCTCACAGGCACTTCCTGCCAATTTTAGAATTTGTGAAAGAATCCTAAAACAGTAGGTACTTCTGCAAATACACCAATGCCAGTTTAATATGCTGTTCTTCACTTAAGGGGGAGTCAGGAAATTGGAGCATATGTATGAACATGCAACACTATTCATTTATGAAACTGTGTGCCACACACTTTGTCAGTTAATATCAGGCTGTAGTGGCACCTCAAGGCAGTGCTAGGAAGTGCATAAATCTGACACAGTGAAGGAACAAGCGGGATATAAATTAACCTGTTTTCTTAAACCTTTAACCTTTCATGTATGAAGGAATAGATGATCTGATTCTATATCATGACATCTGGTTTTTTAAACCACTGTATATGATCATCCTTTATTTTTATATTTTTAGTGTAACTATTTGCTACTACTGAATACTAATAATAATAATAATAGTAAAGTTGGAAGGGACCTTGAAGGTCATCTAGTCCAACCCCCTGCTCAGGCAGGAAACCCTATACCATTTCGGACAAATGGCTGTCCAGTCTCTTCTTAAAAACTTCCAGTGTTGGAGCATTCACCGCTTCTGGAGGCAGGTTGTTCCACTGGTTAATTGTTCTCACTGTCAGGAAGTT